CCATCCGCTCCATCCACTCCATCCGCTCCATCCACTCCATCCGCTCCATCCGCTCCATCCACTCCATCCGCTCCATCCGCTCCATCCACTCCATCCGCACCATCCGCACCATCCGCACCATCCGCACCATCTGCACCATCCGCTCCATCCGCATTATTCGCACCATCCGCTCCATCCGCACCATCCGCTCCATCTCCATCCGCTCCATCCGCTCCATCCACTCCATCCGCTCCATCCACTCCATCCGCTCCATCCGCTCCATCCGCACCATCCGCTCCATCCGCTCCATCCATCCACTCCATCCACTCCATCCGCTCCATCCGCTCCATCCACTCCATCCGCACCATCCGCTCCATCCGCACCATCCACTCCATCCGCTCCATCCGCTCCATCCACTCCATCCGCTCCATCCACTCCATCCGCTCCATCCGCTCCATCCACTCCATCCGCACCATCCGCTCCATCCGCACCATCCACTCCATCCGCTCCATCCGCTCCATCCACTCCATCCACTCCATCCGCACCATCCGCTCCATCCGCACCATCCGCTCCATCCGCACCATCTGCACCATCCGCTCCATCCGCATTATTCGCACCATCCGCTCCATCCACTCCATCCGCTCCATCCACTCCATCCGCTCCATCCGCTCCATCCACTCCATCCACTCCATCCGCTCCATCCGCACCATCCACTCCATCCGCTCCATCCGCTCCATCCACTCCATCCGCTCCATCCACTCCATCCGCTCCATCCGCTCCATCCACTCCATCCGCACCATCCGCTCCATCCGCACCATCCACTCCATCTGCTCCATCCGCTCCATCCACTCCATCCACTCCATCCGCACCATCCGCTCCATCCGCACCATCCACTCCATCCGCTCCATCCGCTCCATCCACTCCATCCACTCCATCCGCACCATCCGCTCCATCCGCACCATCCGCACCATCCGCACCATTTGCACCATCCACTCCAACCACACCACCCGCTCCATCCGCTCCATCCGCTCCATCCGCTTCATCCGCACCATCCGCACGCTCAATCTGCGCCAGCCGCGCCATCCACTCCACCAGCGCCATTTGCACCATCCACAATGTAGACATACAAGACGCTTCTTTCTTTGGCCTATTGTGGCCCCTTTGAACTTGTGCCCAGTGATTGCCCATTCTTGCGGTGTTTAGCAGAGGTGTGCTTCCCATTTGACACAACGGATGCTTCTGATTATGTCTTTGCCTGCTGTGGCCCCTTTGAATTTGTGCCGGTCACCGCCCATGCTTGTAATGTTCAGGGCTTGTTATCCGTTGGCCCCCTAAAGTGCAGACCTACCGAATGCAGTGTTCTTGGCTACACTGTAGACATGGCAGACGCGTCTTTCTTTGCCTGCCGTGGCTTGCTTGAATTTGTACCGCAGTGTCTGCCCATTTTCAACTAAGTTTAGAAGCAATACCGTGTTAAGGCACCTAATTGAAGGATGGCTATTTGAGACAGACGCCAAAAGAAGGAAAGTCGCGCGGAAAAAACAGAGCGCGCGTGTGGCGGGGGAATAGAAATGTGAAGAAAGTTAAAAGCGCAGCCCGCTCCGGGTTTCGTGGATACATTGGGATGCTCGAAAGTTAGCCTGATCGCCATGCCTGGTCCAACAGATCTCGGAGCATCTGCGAACGCGCTCGGATCGGGTTCGGCGCTGGGCCCATTGGCACGGACGCGCTTTTCGCAGGCTTAGTTTTGCATGGCAGGCGCAACACTTTCGCAAAGTCAGGAACAGATTTCGTCGCAGGCGCAGCGCTTTCGCAAGGTCGTGGCAGGCGCCTCATTCGCGAGGTCAGGCGCAAATCTCGTAGCAGGCGCAGCACATTCCCAAGGCCAGGTGCAGATTTCGTGGCAGGAGCAGCGCTTTCGCGAGGCCAAGTGCAAATTTCATGGCAGGCGCAGCACTTGCGCAAGGTCAGGTAAGGGTTCCGTGGCATGCGCAGCACTTGCGCAGGTTAGACAGAGAGAAATGTGGAAAGTGGAAGGGTATATTGAAACATAGCGAGGGACCATAGCCAGAGAGAGAGAGAGATAGACAAGATCGATAGGTCGGTAGGTAGATAGAGAGGGAGAGAGATAGATAGAAAGAAAGAAAGATTAGACGGGTAGCTAGATGGAAAGATCGGATAGATACTTAAATAGACAGGGGGAGAGGGAGAGAGAGATAGAAAAA